GTAGATGTACTAGAAGGTATTTGATTAAAAATATCTATATATATACACACACACACACACACACACACATATATATATATATGTGTGTGTGTGTGTGTGTGTGTGTGTGTGTATACTACATTTTCCCCAAATCCTCCTACTCCTCCAAAAATACCCCGCCGCCTAATCCAAGGGCGGTATCCACAACACCGGCTCCGGCATCCTCGATGACTTCGCCGCCAGCCGCACTAGCAACGCTGAGGGCGGTCTCAAGATCATCGCCAAGAGGAACGGTTCGGCTTTCTCCCTCCTGGTAACTGACGTAATAAATTTCTGGGTTCGAAGATTGGGGAGGTACAATTTCGATCACTTATAAAGGTTCTTCTTCCTGTTTAATAATAACATAGACGACACTTGTTTGTCTTGGCGGAGGAATGATTATTGGTTCGGGAGCCGGACTTTCTTTAGGAACACTAACAAAGAGAATATTATGATCTACCTTGGAGGGATACCAATGGGTCCCTCTAGCACATTAGGGGGATCATAAAGATAAACTTCTTTGGTAATGACGAGGACAGCACACTTTTCATCCACATGTAAGACCTCTCCTTCACTACATGTACGAGAAGGGCCACCGGATCCAATAGGTAGATTATACCCTTGAGGAACAGCTGATCCCACGGTTAACAGGGAAAAAACTACCTATCGTGAGAGGATTTTACAATTTTATCCAAAGAAAATAGTATCTATAAGACTTTTTCCATTCGCATAGTAATCCAAACTCACCAAGAACATCATAGTGAAGGATAGTGTTTGTAAACCGATGCAGTCCTCTTTTATACATACTCTCGCAAGCTAGTGTACTTCATGAACCTGATGCCGCCCAGCCCAGTTGCCCTCTTCTTCGTCCGAGTCACTCACGCTCTCTTAACTTCATAACCTTTCAAAGGTTCCCGAGTTTAAAAATTATAGATATAACTCTATTTCATATTTAATTATCTTTGTATATGTTTATATATATATGTGTGTGTGTGTGTGTGTATACACATGTATAAATATATATAAATATATTTATAGATATACCTCTTTTTATAACTTAATTATCTTTGTGTATATGTGCATATATATGAATATATGTATATGTATATATTTATCTACTCATATATATGTTTATATATGCATGTATGTGTATATATACATATGTATATACATATACTTATACTTATATATACATATACTTATATATATACATATACTTACATATACTTTTATATATATATATATATATATATATATATATATATATATATATATGTATATATCTGTGTGTGAGTATAAATAGATAAATAGATAGATAAACAGATAAATAGAAAAAATATATATAAATATGATATATACACATAAATAAATATATATGTATATATATACTTATATGTGTTTATATATATATAATATTGTTTAAAGGCACCACTCAAGGCTGCGGAAATTTCAGATATAGACAAAATATATTCTTTTCTTAGTATACTCATGATTTTACACATGGAAAAAGAGAGTACAGCTGGTTGAAATTTTTCATCATCGCATCCGCGGCGAGTGAGCTCCATCTCTGACAACTAGATTATTGCAATGACTACAGGTATTTATTTACTTGTCTTGGTGCCTGCAATACATCAATACAGCCTTTTCTTTGAGAGTTTACAACCTGTAAAGTTATAAAGGTCCAGATATATTTGAAATTCTTTCGGTTTCGTCATGATAAACTTTACCCATATGGAGGGAATATGTATTTCATGTACTCCTGGAAAGGCACAGGAACATGTAATATAATATATGTAATATATAAGAATTGTGAACCAAAATACATAAAATGTGATTCGTATTTGATGAAAATATAAATCCCTATGTACTAATTAGTTGAAATATATCTGAATAATATCACACAGTGATTGGCTGGGCAAATTGTATCACGATAGAGACATAAAAAGCGAAAAGGTATATCAGCAGGTTCCAATAATGTTCACGTAGACGGCAAACATATTAGATGATGTATGAAAGTATATTAGAATGTAAGGGGTTTCGAAAAAAAAAAAAAAAAAAAAATATATATATATATATATAAATATATATATATATTTATATATATATATATATATATATATATATATATATATATATATATATTTACATTGACTTTATATTTACGATCTACTTAAATTTGGAGGGTCTAGAGAGCCTTTGCTTCTTTTTATTGGTTTCAATGTTTTTTCACCTTCCTTATTATGGTGCTTATCCAGGTCTCTCTCTCTCTCTCTCTCTCTCTCTCTCTCTCTCTATATATATATATATATATATATATATATATATATATATATATATATACATATATATATATATATACACACATATACATACATATATATATATATATATATATATATATATATATATATATATATATACACACATACACACATATATATATTCTCCTTATCTTGCATACAGTTCTTTATATATCGAGATACCCGTTTTTTCTCTCTAGCTGTGCGGCTCCGCATGTATATAAGTACTATATAAATTCTGTTTGTTGATTTCCTTCATTCTTGTAAGAAATGTTAATAAAGGTGATAAAATACTAGGAATAACTAAATCAAAGTAAATAAAAACATTGATATTTTACAAAACAAATCATAATACATTCTTACTCTAGCATTTGCTTAGAGAATAACTAATAGAAAACTATAGACAACAACGTTTATATATTAAAAACTATAACAAAATAAAATTCTTATTCTAATAAGTCTCATGAACCTTATCCACTTTCTTCGACTCCTCTATTGTTATTTATTTCTCCAGGTCTGCCGTCGATTCCTCCATTAACTCTGCGAATGTCAACAAGTCCGCTGAGGGCTCCGACTCCTGCACCGTTAAATTCTCCATCTCCACCAAAGCCACCTGCTCCACTATCGTCAAAACCTAGGTCTCCTCCAAAGCCATTGACTCCACTGCCGCTGAATCCTCCATCTCCAAAGCCATTTACTCCACTGCTGCTGAATCCTCCATCTCCAAAGCCATTTACTCCACTGCCGCCGAGTCCTCCATCTCCAAAGCCATTGACTCCACCGCCGCTGAATCCTCCATCTCCTCCAAAGCTATTGACTCCACTGCCGCCGAGTCCTCCATCTCCAAAGCCATTGACTCCACTGCCGCTAAATCCTCCATCTCCCCCAAAAGCATTGACTCCACTGCCGCTGAACCCTCCATCTCCTCCAAAGCCATTGACTCCACTTCCGCCGAATCCTCCATCTCCTCCAAAGCCATTTACTCCACTGCCGCTGAATCCTCCATCTCCCCCAAAGGCATTTACTCCACTGCCGCCGAATCCTCCATCTCCTCCAAAGCCATTTACTCCACTGCCGCCGAATCCTCCATCTCCCCCAAAACCACCTGTTCCTCCGATGGCCTGACCCCCTCCGTTGGCGGCGGCACTGAGAGCACTCTCAAGATCAACACCAATAGGAAGAGTTGGATTTTCTCCTTCTTGGTAGTTGACGAAATAAACTTCAGGGTCAGAAGGTGAAGGAGCGGTGACCTCGATCACTCGCTGGCCTCCTCCTCCATCGTTCTTGCTGAGGATGTACACGATCTGCTCTTGGCGTGGTGGCGGAAGGATGACGGGATCAGGTGCTGGTCCTGCTTCTGGAACACGAACGAACACGATATTTTCTTCCACTCTCGGTGGTGGTACGCTTGGTGGCGGACCGACTGGCTGCTGAGGCTCATCAGGAGCGCTGAACACATAGATGGTTCTTGTAATTTTAGGAACAACGCAAGATCCGTCTACATGTAGGATCTCTCCATCACGACAGGCACCGGAAGGACCTCCAGAACCCCCATTATATCTAGCACCGGATGAAGATTCATGCGAAGATGCGCCAATACCACTTATGAAACCGTTTCTTCCCTGTTTTTCTGGGCCACTGGTAAAACCGCCACCGACAGAGGAAAATCCATTCCCTGAAGTCGATGGGAGACTGTATTCCTGCGGCTTTGCTAAAGCTACAGGTATCAATAGGACAATTGCCTGAAAATAATCATTTGTTATCAATCTGTGGTCTGTTAAAGGGTAGAGCTTATGTAAAGTTATGTATCAGATTATTTAGAAACAAATCACGGTATTTTACAAGTATAATATTTTCTAACAAAAACACTTACTAAGAGCTTCATTGCGTTGATTGATGAACGTTCAAGACGCGCTTCACCTTATATATATCCACTCATGCGATGGCCTGACCTAATCACAGCCACTCTTGACATTCCCTTAGCCGGTTTGCTCCGCCTTTCATCGGTTGTAAGCCCACCCAGTTTTTTACCATCACCGAATACTAGTTACGTAGTGCGCCTTATTGAGTTTTCTATTGTTAGAGTATTGGAATGCTATTGTTATTATTTTTTGTTATCACACTTTCCGAGGATAAACATATCTTTGAGGGTTGGAAAGTTAATTACGCTTTTCTGCCATGTTATCGTATACACAAATTCGTATTAACAATATATCAATTAATAAAAGGTTAGTACTATTTCCTTTGTTCCACTTTCTTTATTTCTCACCTAACCATTATAACTAGGGGATATTTATTAAAGGCATTTTTTTTATATCAAAGAATAATCACGAACAAACAATAAAAAGATGACGGTCATTACTTCTTTAATATATGATTAATAGATATCCTTAAGGAACTTGGCTATTTTTTTTTTTTTTTTATAATTATGCGAATCAATACTTCTTGACATTGTTTATCATATACTATCATTATAGTAACTAAGACTGCGTAACTAATGCGAGGGTTCAAATAATAAGTATCTGATAATGATCACCATGATAATGTGAGTAATAAAATGGTATTTCAAATTGATATTTGTGAATATAATAACATTTACAAATAATCATTATAACAGAATAACAAGGGATAGTATTTTTAAAAGCAAACAATTATATGAAAACAGAGAGGTTTCAAAAAAAC